CCTTCCTTCCTTCCTTCCTTCCTTCCTTCCTTCCTTCCTTCCTTCCTTCTTTCTTTCTTTCTTTCTTTCTTTTTTTTTTACAGAGCTGAGGACCGAACCTAGGGCCTTGCGCTTGCTAGGCAAGCGTTCTACCACTGAGCTACATCCCCAGCCCCTAGGTTTCTTAAAGGAGTATGGCTGCAGGATTGCAGGAGCAGAAACAGCCATGACTGCGTCTCCAAAGCCACCCCAGCATTAGTGACAGCCCGTGAAAGTCAGAAACCTGGAATGCATCGCATTATCTGCAGGCCCCTTGACATGTTGGAGAGCATCCTTTCTAGGGAGCTCTGTTGCTGAGTCTCTTCTAGGCACCTTGGCTGCTCTTGCTTCTTCAGGCAGCTCAGCTTGTCCGAGGGAGTCTCTCAGCAGTCCCCACTGCTTATATAAGCCTAAGGAGGGAGGGGCCTAGTGAATCTGCTCATTTTTAAGACTTTTCTGAAGCTATTGAATTCTTTACTTCCTCATTCTAGGGAAGCTCTTCTTGGGGCTGGAGAGATGGCTCACTGGCTAAAGGCTCTTGCTGCCAAGCCTGAAGACCTGAGTTTGATTCCAGGCATCTACCTAGTGGTGGGAGAAACTGACTCCTCAAGTTATCTTTGACTTCCACACACATGCTGTGGTACTCACATTCCTCACATTAAATCAATCAATCTGTCCATCAATCGATAAGTATGGGGGAAAAAACCTTTAAAAAGAAATAAGAAAGAAAATGAAACCAGTCACCAAGATGTTTTGCCCATGGTGGAGCTTGAGGGGAAGAAAGATTTGGGACTGTCAAACACCTACTCCCCTCCCCCCGCTACCCCTCCACCCCGGGATGGGGAGCCAGCTCATTTGGTAAAGTGGTTGCCACATAAGCTTGAGGACCTAAGTTCTGTCTCCAGAACCTATGTAAAAAGCTAGGCATGGTGACATGTGCTTTTAATCCCAGCAGCGGGAGGTGGAGATAGCAGATTCCGGGGTTCACTGGCCAATCAGCTTAGTTTACTTGACAAGCTCCAGGACCCAGTCAGTCTCTGTCTCAAAAATGGGGCTGAAGCAGGGTACCCAAGAAATGACTTGTGAGATTGACCTGTGAGCTCTACATGCATGCTCTTACACACACCCTCCCCTACAGCTGGTACAAATGTAACAGCTGGGGGTTGGAGGGATGGCTCAGTGGTTAAGAGCAGCTACTGCTTTCAGAGAGGACCTGGGTTCGATTCCCAGCACACATGTCAGTTGGCTCACAATTGCCAGCTCCAGGGGATCTGAAACTCTTTTCTGGCCTTTGTGGGCTCTGTACTCACATGCACAAATGACCAGCAGACAGGTATGCAAATGCATGATTAAAAATAAAAATATATTTGAGGAAAAGTATATATAAGAGCTAGAATTTCAGCAATTTCTTCCAGGCTGACTGAGTTAGCAAATGGATCTGTTCCAGGTATGAGCAGACAGGCCAGGCCACTGCTCTGTGTGTGTGTGTGTGTGTGTGTGTGTGTGTGTGTGTGTGTGTGTGTGTGTGTTTTGTGGCCCTCCCTTGGACATCATGGGAAGGGTTTGGGGAGGATAGATACTGGCTGGCTTCCATTAGTGTTTTCCAGCATAATTTTCACCACCATTTCTTCCAGTGTTCCTTTCACTCTGCCCTAGAGGTGGTGGATCTTTGCCTGACAAGAGGACTTGCCTTGTCTCCCATTAGCCACACGTTTAGGTTTTATTCTAAAGGAAAAGCAGTAACCTGACCTGAACTCTCTGGGTGTCTTTACAGCGAGGGCTCTGAACGAGAAGGAAAGGCATGTAGATCCCCAGACAAAGGCAACAAGGCTGACTTAGACACACACACACACACACACACACACACACACACACACACACACGCGAGGAAGAGGGCTTTAATGAGATGTAATTCACCCAGCATACATTAGCTCCCTTTAGGAGCTCAGTTTAATAGTTTCCATCAATTCAACATTGCCAGTCTCATGCCAGAACATTGTCCTCACCCTACCTCAAAGGAAGTCATGCACCCTGTGGTAGTTTGAATGAGAATACACTGCCCCCGCCCCCACCAACATACACACAAACACAAGGGCTCATATATTTGCATGCTTAGTTCTCAGTTGATGAGCTATTTGGAAGGATTAGTAGGCGTGTCCTTGTTGGAGTAGGTGTGTCCATGTTGGAGGTGTGTTGCTGGGGGTGGGCTTTGAGGCTTCAAAAGGTCACATCAATATCTGGCTCTCTCTCCTTGCTACCTATGGATCAGTATGTAAAGCTCTCAGCTTCTGCTCCAGCACCATGCCTGTCTGCTTCCTAGAATGACAATCTTGGACTCACTCCCTGAACTGTAAGCCATCCCCCAACCAATGCTTTCTTTTCTAAGAGTTGTCTTGGTCACGGTGTCTCCTTACAGCAATAGAATACTGACTAAGACACACCTCTTAGCCTCTACTCACTTAATCCCTCCATCTCCCCCAGTCCTAGGTAGTCATTAATTTACTTTGCATATGCTGGACATTTCAGACGAAGGAAGTCATATGAATGTGTGGTCCTCAGTGACTTGCTTTGTAGTGTAGTGTTTCTAAGGACCACCATGTTGTAACACATGTCAGAACTTTCTCTTAATTGTTGCGTAATATTCTACTGTATGGATGTGCCACAAGCTTTTTTGTTTGTTTGTTTGTTTGTTTGTTTGTTTGAGACAGGGTTTCTCTGTGTAGCTTTGGAGCCTTTCCTGGAACTCACTCTGTAGCCCAGGCTGGCCTCAAACTCACAGAGATCCACCTGCCTCTGCCTCTCAAGTGCTGGGATTAAAGGCATGCGCCACCACCACCTGGTGCTTTTTTTGTTGCTGTGAACAACTGTGCACATGTTTTTCTGCATGGGTTAGGTTTTTGTTTCTCTATTGTATGACACGGAATTATACTTTCTCATTTGTTTGGTAGCCCTCCCTGTGTTTACCATTTTGAGGAAATGGCAAGCTGTTCTCCAGAGACCTCTAAAAACCCACTTTCCTGTAGAGCAGTGTCTACACTGACAAATCCTAAACTCATTCAGAACTCAGAACTCGTTTAGAAGAGCAAAGAAATTACAGAAGCGGCTGAATGTCAGTCAGAATGCTTGTTTGGGGGGCCTGGCTTCACTTCTGCCCTCCTTTATCAGCTCCACCATAGCTCTGACCACCACAAGGTCTGTAGTCAGCGTTGGTATAAACCAGGAGTAGAAAAGCCTTTGTGGTGGACAGCTGGTTCAGAAGGCTTGTCACTGGAACCTACATTTGATAGCCCGAGAAAAGCCCCATTCCCAGGCTGGAGTTGTGATTGCCATCTCCAGTGTGTTCTTCAAAGCCAGCCACAGGTTTCACACCACAGTTGGCCGCGGTGCCCAGACCAGTTAGAACCAAACAGCTGGTCCTTGGTTGGGTGCCAGGCGCTTTGAGATAAGTGTGTTTTATGAGAAGTTGAGAGTTAAACTATGGGTTGCTGAGGGTCCATGTCATGCCCATCACTCCTCCCAAAGCTGCACCATGTCTCAGGCAGTCCCCAGTTCTCCGCCTCCTGCCTCAGCCTCAGATATAGGCATTCATCACTGTAGGAACCACTCTTCCTTTAAAGACAAGAGAAAGGAAGAAAAGAGAGATGGAGAGAGAGAGGTGGGGGAGGGAAGAGGAGGGAGAGAGATTGGGAGAGGGAGAGAGAGAGAGGAAGGAAGGCTCCCTCTCATGAAGAAAGCTGGTGCTTTGAGATAACTGAAAATAGCCTAACCTTCATTTGCTGTGATGGAGACTGGAAACGTGTGAGGAGATGAAGTTTTTGTAAGTCTGAGACAGGTAATTCCCCTCCATGTTTGCAGCAATGTGTGTATTCGTTAGAGAAATCCAGCGCCTCCAGCTGAGCTAGTGGCATTTCTACTGATTGGTAGTGGGGCCAGCTATTGCAGATCCCTGCCAATGTGAAATGGATTAGACAAGGGCTGTAAAGACAACAGTAGTTTCCATTTATTGAGCACTTACTAAGGGTGTGTTTGTGCTAGCTGTTCATTAGCTCTGTGGGGGGCTGACAAAACCAACAGGGCATGGGATTGAATGACCTCTATGTGACCTTCAGCCCCAGAACTGTGAAGTCAGAAGCAGCATTAGGCAATTTGTCCGGCATAAATACATCTGTTGGCTCTTATCTCCATTATTATCTTGGAAAATGCTCTCTGTACCTCTAACCACCGTGTAAAGCTTGAGGTTGGGTGGCAATGGCTGGTCCAACCAGTGCTTCCTTTTGCCACTCTTCCTTCCCCATCTTCAAAACCTGCAACATAAGCATGTCATGAACCATCTGAACTCTTAGCTGCTTCCACAGAGAACCTTGGGAGAACATGTCTCTTTCTCAGTGTTGGACACAAACAAAACAAAAGGATCCATTTGCATGCACCCAAGAAAGGGATACCTCCCTGGATGGTCTTGCTGTGTCTTCTCAGTAAAATTATGACCTGCCTCATGATTAGATAAAGGAATGGATGTCTCTGCCATCTTTTGCAATCACCCTGGTTACCTTGGAAGTTTTGGGGTCTTTTGCCAAAATATACCCACAATGACTTGCAAACCTATGCTGCAAACATGAATTTAACAAAATTGTTATTTTCTGGTTTGATCTTGGGGTGTTTTTGTTTAAGGTACTATTTTATATGTTCACATCTAAGTTCCTGTCACTTGTTTAATCCCTCCAAGTCCTTTTTCCACAATTAAATATCCCAAAAGATGTGTAAAACCACTAGCTCTGGACTAAACAGAACAAGAAGGTGATATTTAGATTAATACATTTTTAATGGACATTTTTTGGAGGGTTACAGACACAGGAACAAAAATAAAATTGCTATATGGTTGCCACACTTCAGAAAAAGAGTCAAGTTTGATGATAAATACGGCCTTAGAGAACCAGCCAGAATGGGTAGGGTCTGAATAGGATTTAAAAACCCAACTGTGTGCAGAAATTAGAGTTTTGCCCTGAATCATATGGAATTACAGTGCTGGGTGCGTGCGCCATGCCTACACAATAAAACCCAGAGGAAGCAGCTATTTCTGTTGGTTTTATTAAACCAACCAAGCAATTTAATTCTTTTGTTCAGGAGAGTTCTACTTCATTGATTAACAAAAGCAGGGATATAATTTTTTCAGCCTTTTTGAAAAGCCTGAAATGTCAAGCCTTTTAAAGCAGATTATTGTGCCTCTGTGCAGTGAATACAGCCAGAGTAACCTTTTGTCTACAATTAAATATTCTAGCATAAATATAAAAGAAAATCAGAGATGGGAAAGATTGACTCACAAGAGATTGGAGAGGTAGATCCCCACACTGATAGTGCAGCAGCTCGCTTCTAATTAAATATGCGGCTGACTCTCCATGCATTTGCTTTCAGCCGCACAGAGGAGAAGCGGCTGAGCAGTGGAAGGAAGGAGTCTATCACACCATCTCTCTGTCCACAGGCTTTCCTTGGGGCTTATGAAGGTATTTTAGAATTTTTATATTGGCATTTTTCAGGGGAGATAAAGGTGAACCCTCAAGGGCAGTCAGACCTCAGTCTTGAAAGTTTAGGCTTGCTTGTTGGTCTGCCAACCCGACGACGTTCATAGCTCTCTTCTTAGTCAGAGACCAAGGTTAATAGCGACGACTTTTGTTTGGAAGGTTGAAGCCGTCCCGTTAGGCTGCAGCATGAAGTGACCTTTTGTTATTTTGAATTGGGGCTAGTTATTGATTTTCCTCTTCTTTAGCCTATCGCATGATAAAGTCTTTAATGCATATTTTGGTATTTGTACCATAAGAGTATGAACCCAGAAAGCAAAATTCCAGTATCCTTTAGCTGTCTCTAACAAAATGCATTTTAGAAAACGATAAGGTTTGCAGTTGGACTCGGGTTTATTGATATTCATAAGCCTTTCATCTTCACATACACTCAGGGCATCTTCAGAGAACTACTTAAACATGGCACTCAGAAAATGCTGATGACATGGAATGCGGCTGATCCTCTTAGGGTCTGCTGCTTACACAGAAAAACTGGAAAATAATAAGAACTGAAATCTCTACCCCGTAACTTTGCCTTTCCATTCCAGGTCCTGACATTACGGGGAGGACTGGATTACTCTGAGGAACGCCCGTTGCCTGTTGCGCGTCTTATAGGCACATAGTACCTTTCCCGTTTGTAGGTGAAATTTATGCTCGGTTGTGAAAATAATTGATGGCAGATAGGCTTGAAACAACATCGGAACTCAGTTGGCTTTTCCTTTGTGTATGTGCTGTAAGTGTTCCCTGGGTTGCGGTTTTGAATACAATCAGACACCTGGTGGCTTTTGGAAGCGTGCCACTGAGAAAGGCTCCGTATTTGTAAATTAATAGTTTGTACTACTAAAAAAAAAAACCGGTTGGGGCAATAATTGAATGTTAGGAATAAAGCTTAAAAATTTTCCACCTTGTAAGGTTTCCCCTCTTTTAATAAGCAAAATTTTCAAGTAACAGGCTCCACTGAAGGGAGGCACAATCTCAGTAAGTCTTAATGTGCTATTTACCTTTCCTCTTATTAGTAGAAGGAGTGTGCTCAATGCAGTGTTTAACGAGGACTGTTTAAGCCAGGGTTCAAACTTAGCCTTCTGACAGGAAACAGGGAAATGTCTTTGGTTGCCAATACTAAATTGTTAAACTTCATACATAAAACATCAAGTCACATTAGAAATTAGGAATTTTTAAATGACAGGAATATATTTGATGATTAAAAAGTTAAAATGTGACAGGCTGGTTTATAAAGACATATTCCATCAAAGGTAGTAATCTTCATACCAATTTGTCTTTCCTAAGTGGGCTAAGATCGTCACTGAGGCTTTGTGTGTTTAAGGTGGATTTTTACACCTGGGATCAAGCATATAGTATAGATGTAAATGTATAACATGCATCTGTCTTGTATGTCTATGTAAAATGTGATGCATGTCTTATATTACATGCTACCCTTCTGATATAAGCGCGTCGGTTGTTTTACCAGTAGGATTAAACATGCTGGTATTCTCTGGGGAAAAGATCATTGTACTAAAAGGCTTCCCCCACACCCCAGGTGAGAGATACTATAGTGATCAAGTACTATTTCTCTGGCCAGAAATAAATAATAATAGCAAGCAAACAAAAAGTATAAAGTACCAACAGCTACCTTTAAAATGATGAGATATGAATCTTCCAACCCCACTGACAATTGCTAGGATTTCATCCTTGACTTTATCTTTTTTTTCTGCATCTCAAATAGGCTGTTGTCTTTGATATATATGTATATTGTAAGTAATTTAGCATGCAATTGGCATGTCTCTGTTCCTTTGAAGGAGCATGTATTTATGCTCTGGCGAGGGGACGAGTAAACTGTTGAGTTATTTCTGAAGTAGTTCGCCTCCAGGGAGGCAAGGGGACTCGGGTATGCAAATTGAAAATGACTCTGCTTTGCAGGCACATGTTCGTCATGCTCCCCTTTCACGATTTTACATTTAGTTCACCCAAAACAAAAGATGACCTGTCACCTTATCTGTGAATATGTTATTTTTTAGCAGATCTGAAAGCAAAATGAAGATCCAGTGCCTTTGGCTTTATTTACCATTTCCTTTAAAGCAAGCCAGTGATCTACAATATTTATGCTTAAAACCCAAGTTAAATATTGATTATTTCAAAATGCCTAGAGATTTCTCTCATCAGACCTCAGGGTTGTGTCAGTGAGTTCCAGCTACCGACTCAGCATGATGGGCTGAGAGGGTCCTCTAATAACAGAGTAAAGCCACAGACAGAACACGCTTCCCCCATTTCCTCACCAGCGCTTCTGCTGCCAGTGCCTCTGATCCTATCCTTACTAAAAAAAAGAAAAAAGAAAAAAGAAATAAGGAAAAGAAAAAGAAAAACATTTTATAATATTTGGCTTAATTTTAAAAAATATTATAATTCATGGGATTTAATTTTGAACATTTGCAGTAGAGGAGTCAAATTAATTATAAATGACAGTTCATGTTCATTTACATTTATTCTTATGACCAATTTAAAATCATGATTTAAATTGTATTTCAAAACAAGGTTTGATTACATGAAGAACAATTCAGGATTAAAATTATGGGACTGAGGACAGGAAACCTGGGCTGAATCACAACCCAGAGCATGTTGCCATTTACTCATTGGTGTGGTATGGCTAAAGTGATTTTTATTAGGGACTCCGGGGTGTGAGTACTGGGGAGATGCCGGGGAGAAACGGGAGTATTTTCTGTTGCCAAGCACTCCTCTGGCTGTGCAGGGCGAGTTTCCGCTGAACACCAGCTGAACCTGTCTGCAGAGAAGGCGGTACTCCGGCACCCACTGTAAACTCTTACTGTACATTTCTTGATTTAGAAACTGTTCCATTCCCTCCTCTTCCTCTGCTGTCGCCACCTTCCCTCACCTTGAAAACTTGGAGCCATCACATCAAAACAGAATTGAAATTCATAGATTTAAAAAAGCTGCGTAACATTTCCTACAGATTTAATTCTTAAGAAGTAAATATCCAGGACCTTGCTTTGGGTGCTGAGAACACACATTCTCCACAGTGCGCGGCTGCTTTCTTTCTCCTCTGCTTCTGAGGGCTCCAGCAGAGGAGCTGGAGGCTTGGACTACTCCCACATTTATGCGATGGCTTCGGAAGCTAGTGTTGAGTGTCCCTCTAATGAGTTACTATCTTGACAAGGGACCAGATGTGGCTGGGTTGCAGTGGGCAGAGAAGCTCAGAATAACCTCGGAGGTCTGTGACTCACCAGTGTGTGTGTCCCTAAGCAATGTTTTTATTCAAATGGTGCTTAAAAATACTGATAATATTTTTCCTCCTCTTGAATCTTGTGATGATCAACTGTGGATTCTCAGGAAAAGTAGCACAGCGACTGGCCAGAAGTGCACATCCCTCAGGACCCGCAGCGACAAGGAGCACGGGTCAGGGGTTCACTCAGGACGTGATAGAACTGAGGGAAAAATCATTTAAAGTTTGTGTCTGAGGAACCCATTGGTCTAGGCAGATAATAAGAAGGCATTGGCATTTGTTGCTCGACATCATTGTGGCCTTTCCTACACAGATGGGCCACTGTGCTTTTCGGTGTTTGCCCAAAGCTAATGAACAAAGTATTATTCTCCGTTCCCAATCTGAGTGCCGCAGGGCCAGGGCTACAAATACACACAGCCGGCAAGATGTGTCAGGGAAGCGTGGAGGGTTGACTTTATGTTTCCTGGGCTTCCATTTCCACGGGATTTTACAGCATTGGGAGGGGTGTTTATTCTCAGTGTGCTTGACTGATGCTTTTAGCGCCTATCATCACTTTTGGGGGATGTTATGCCTGGAGGCTTGGAGGGGGGTTTGGACTTTTTGAGGTCATGCCTCACTTTGGGGAGGGAAAGAGAGGTCTCTAGTGTTTGTTTTGGAAAACAGGAAGAAAGGGAATATGTGTGGATGAGTAAAAGAGGAGATGGCCTTTCAGGAGGTACCTGAGGTACAGAGGCAAAATTCTCTACATCTCTGAAGGTGGGTCGTGACCACCCCGTAGTCACACCCCATGCGGGAGAAGGCTCAGATGTACAATGTTCAGAAATCCAGTGCATTTTATTTCATTTTAAGTTTAACCATCAAGTAGGTTATATTGTTCAAATTATAAAACACTTTGTCTTTCCCTCAAAGTGCTGGGGACATTAGAGAAATAGTACCTGAACTCTTGTGATGGGCTATATGTTTCCAAGTACATTTATATGTATTAATATACTTTTAACCTTGTGTGATAAGTGTGTGTTGTATGTAGTGTATGTACTTTTAAATGTGCATGCGCACATGTGTGCCTCGAGGCCAGAGGTCGACATCATGAGTCCTCCTCAATCAGTCTCCATCCTGTTTTTGAGACAGAGTCTCTCATTGAACCTGGTGCTCAGATTCTGCTGGGCCAGCTGGTCAATGAGCTTCAAGGACCCACCTGTTTCCTGCCCCTCCCCTGTAAGCTGGAGTTACAGGCACACACCACCACATTTGGCTCTTTTGTGGGTGCTGCGATCTGAACTCAGGTCTTCATGTTTGCGGGGCAGGCACATTACTGACCAGGCCGTCTCCCCAAGCCCTATATAAAAACCTTTTTCTTCTCCTTTGTATAAACGACAGCCTCACATATCTACTCTTATTCAAGTAACACATTCAGCTCTTCTTAATCATAGGAATTGGTAAATAATAAGAGGATCCACTGTTCTGTGTTTATGTATTTTTCTGTTTGCTTTGTGTAGTTCACTGGGCCTGCTCTACAAACCATGGAAACAGTTGCCCCTAGATGCTTAGGTTGCTTCCTATCTTAGCTCTTCTTTAAAAATGTCAGCACACTCATGCAGGGCTAGTCAGAATGTTGCAGCCACTGTGGAAAACTGGTGATCTCTTGAGCCTCAAACACAGTTACTGTGTCACCCAGCAAGTCCATTTGTAGATATATAACTATAACTGAAAGCGTGTAGTCGAGGATTCTGGGGCCTTATGACGTGTTTGCCGGCGCTCACAGTAGCATTATGAACAGCTTGATTATCAACAGAAGAATGGGTTGACAACATTTGATGTGCGAATACATTAGTATATTACTCAGCCCTAAACAGCAAGCAGATGTGAACATATTCCAACATGAGTGACCCGTGAAAGCATACTAAGTGTAGTAAGCGGGACAAATGCTTATGAGAATAATTACATGAAGTACAAGCTGGGTGTGGTGACACGTGCCTGTACTTCCAGCACTTGGGAGGCAGAGGCAGGAAGATCGCCTCAAGTTCAAAACCAGCCTCATCTGCATAGCAAGTTCCAGCTCAGGCAGGCTACACGATGAGCCCCCTTCTCAAAACAACACAACTGTATAAAGTGTTAAGGAAAACATGGATGCTGTTCACAGGGAAAGGAGGGGAACAATGGCTGCCAGCAGCTGCCCAGGGAGCCTGAGGCCCCCTGTTCAAAGGGCACAATCTTCTCTAAGAACGTGAAATGGTGAAGAAAATAGATAGTGTTGAAGGTCGTGTAATAATAGGACTGTAATCAGCAATGCTAGTCGAACACTTAAAAATCTCAACATTGAGGCTGGGGAGATGGTTCAACAGTTACAAATGTGTTCTGCTCCAGCAGAGGTCCCACACCAGGCAACTCACAACCATCAGTAGCTTTGGATCTGGGTGACTGAGCACCCTCTTTTGGACCCCATGGGCACCTGCATCCATGTGCACAAATCACACACACAGCAAAATAAATCTTAAAAAAAAAAAAAGCACCACAAGTTTTACCTTGTTTATTTATTCATTATTTTTGGTGTTTTGAGACAGGGTTTTTCTGTGTACCTCTGGCTGTCCTGGAACTTGCTCTGTAGAAGAGTCTGGCCTTGACCTCAGAGATCTGCCTGCTTCTGCCTCCCAAGTGCTAGGATTAAAGGAGTGTGCCACTACCACCCGCCTTGTTATTTATTTTATTTTATTATTTTTTAAATACTTATTTATTTTATATATATGAGTGACCTATTTTCATGCACACCAGAGGGAATCAGATTCCATTACAGATGGTTGTGAGCCACCATGTGGATGCTGTGAATCGAACCCAGGACCTCTGGTAGAGCAGCCAGTGTTCTTAACCATTGAGTCACTTCTCCAGTTCCCTTGTTATTTATTTTTAAGAATTAAAAATTGCCCCAAAGCAGGACAGAGAGGACATAAAAATCCATGACTTTAAAAAGAATTACATTTATGTATTTGTATGTGTGCACACATGCTACATCATGGTGTGTAGGGGGTCAGAGGGCAGCCTGGAGGAAGCAGTCCTTTTACCACAGGGGGTCTGGGGAATCTGACTCAGGGCCTCAGGCTTGGTGGTCAGCACCTTTACCCTGAGCCATTTTCTAGCCCAATACCTGTGACTTTGTGCACATAGGCACCCATTTTCGTGTGTGTGTGTGTGTGTGTGTGTGTGTGTGTGTGTGTGTGTGTGTGTGTGTCTGTGCTGAATCCCTGGCTGATCTGGAACTTTGTATCCCTTGCTGGCCTGGAACTGGCTATGCAGACAAGGATGGTTTAAACTCACAGAGTTCTGCCTGCTTCTGTCTCTGGAAGTTTGGGATTAAAGGTGTGCAACACATGCCCAGCATCTGTCTTCTTGATGTGTGCAGATGTACACATCTGCACTTATCCACCTCCTCACAGCCTCATGCTGTGCTGAGCAAACTTTCAGGTGCCCTTCATACTAACAAAAGGACTCTGCGCCTGTGAAGATTTCGTGGAGGTGGAGTTGGGATCCGGTGGCTCAACGTTTGTGAACAGAGATGAAGCACATCTGAGCTTTAAGCCAGTACTAACAGAAGCTGCTCCTCCCCTCCCTCCCCTCCCTTCCCCTCTGCCTGCCTTACCTTTCCTCTTATTCTTTCTCTTCCCCCTCCCTCTCTTCTCTTCTTGTCTCTTTTCATCTGTCCATCCATCCCTTCCTCTGCCCCTCCCTCTGCCCCTCCCTCCCTCCCCCCTCCACTTTCCCCCTACCCCTTTCCTTCCCTTCCCATCTCTTTTTTGGTTTTATTGAGACAGGGTCTCACTATATAGTCTAGGCTGGCCTAGAACTTACTGTGTAAGCTGGGTTGACCTCGAGCTTGCCATCTTCTGGCCTCTGCCTCCTGAGTGTTGAGACAGCAGACATGTGCCAAGTGGTACCTGTGTTGTCAGAGATTGACTGTTCATTTGTAAACAGCCTCAGCTGGAGATGGGTTACAGAGTCTGCTCAGAAGGCGGATGTGGCATTCCTTCAAACTCTGTGGTTTCCAATTTGATGGACTTTCAACTTAATTCCTGGTTATTAATTTACCAAAAAGTTCGAAATGTGATGGGGCACTTAGCCCAGTAAGTGCTGATTGCAGTACAGGACAATGTGTGACAAGTGGAGCTCAGAGTAGGGTGTCCCTTCACAGTGGCAAGGGCCAGACAGGCTTTCCAGAGAGGGTGTCTCTGAGCTGAGTCCTTCCCAGCAAACAGGGTGAGGCCGAGGGAATCCCGAAGAGGAAAGCTGCAGGTTCTGAAGGATGCTCAGCCTCCAGGCGGGGTGGGGCCCGTGCCATCCAACTGTGCCTGGAGCTGGTTTGCCTGTGGAGTTGCTCTTGAACCTGGAGCTTGGGAAACATGATCAAGGTCAAAAATAGTTTTTGTATTTTGAAGTTCCTTGAACACCAGGGCTGGAGTGTGTAACAAATACACATTCCATTTCCTTTCTTTTTCTCTTTTCTCTGACCGCCCCTCCCCCATCCCTTCTTCAAACCCTCCCGAGATGCCCTCCGCACCCCCTACCTTTCTCAGGCATCTTTCCTGTTGCCTCCCCCCACTTCCTTGTGCACCATCCCTCTCCTGTGGTCAGTTGTAGTGGGGTGATTTTGTGCTGGATAGTTGATAAAATACGCTGAACCTAAGAGGATGAGCGAGAGCAGTCCATGATCAGTGTTTTCTAAGTGTTGCGTTATACTGTTCCGGTGTGACGGGGTTGCCTCCAGGTCACCACAGGCTAGCTGGTGCCACCGCCCATGTCTAGTGTGAGGTTTGCTCATGTGTGTGCCCATAGCCATTTGCAGTGTGCAGGGAAATGTGTATTGCTAAGCTATTAGAGAGGAAAGAGAAAAGAGAGAAGAGAGAGAGAGAAGGAGAGAGAGGAGGGGGAGAAGGAGAGAAAGAAGCCCGGCATTATTTATGGAACATGTTCCTTGGGTAAGGGTGTTACAGCTAGCATCTGATAACTTTTCTCAAAACTGTCCAGAGCATGGAAAGCGGCATATGGGTGCTTTCCTGAACTGATCCCATAGCCACGGCATAGCACCAACCTGAGGTTGCACACCACAGTAATGTTTATGTTTGTCTAGCATCCCAGAAAGCTCTGGATGCCCGCATTTGTGAGAGGCTTTAAAGGGCATGTTGCAATGGTAATGAAGGTGATCTGTGCTGTTCACCAGATGAGCCCCCAAGGCTGTTTGGAAACTGGCCCAGAATGCAAGATGGCTTGCGGACAGGGGTGATGTGGCAGCTGACCTTCAGGGTCAGCTTTAGAAAGCGCTGCTCCTTGTGCTTGCAAGGCTCACCAACCCTTCACCAATCGCGCTCTCTCCAACTCAGGTTATCAGAGTTTTTGTTAGATTATTAAAATAAACGTTCCTTGTAAAACCTGGAGACGCGGAGGAATGGCAAGCTCTGGCCATTCTGCACTGTGTGTGCACCAGACATGCACCAGACTGCAGGCGTGCGTGTTCACTGTCAGGCACAGAGGATCTTCCATGAGCAAGTTCAAGTTGCCTGACCTAAAGTCAGTCAGTCTAGTCAAATCCACAAGCTCCAGGCCACTGAGAGAATGGCAGCCACGGTTGTCCTCTGACCTCCACACACACCCACACATGCATGTGAACAACAATGATAATCACCTACTAACCTATAGCTATTTAAATATGGCAATGTATCAATTATGTTCTATCTAGTGAAAAGCCCTCACAGGAGTGTGGCATTATTTCCTTTTGCCCCCAAGGGCTTGTTGATTCAGCACCTCTATCAGCTTGCATTTAGAGAGCTTCTGGTTAAACACACTGACAAGGTTCAGAACACTCCAACGATGATCACTTGAAACAGTTACACCTACAAGTTGGGATGGGAAGTCCTGCCAAGGTCGGCAGCGTCTGCCAACTCAACCTTGGAACGGCTCTTCTTCAGTCAACTCAACTGGATATAAAACCTTTAGGAGACACGTCTCTGGGTCTGTGTATGCGGAAGGCCCTGCAGAGCTTTTGCAGAGGGCAGCAGCAGGATTCATCTGTCTCTCTGTTTCCACATCTGGCTGCTGTGTCTTCCTGTTACCATGTTCTTAAGCCATGGCCTTCCTTAGGCTGTATTTATCAATTATTTTGTTACGCGATGAGAAAAGTAGCTGGTAAGAAGTCCAGCGTGGCTGTCCTTTGTGACTGCTTTTAGCCATGGTCACGTCCCTGTGTGCCCCAGTATCTGGGAACTCTATTGTGAATAACAGAGTACCCCGTGCTGCTGCTGAGGGGATGTGTGTCTGACTTGCTGACTTCTGCAGGGCTCCTGTGGCTCCTCTGTGTGGTTGGTCTTTCTGGCGTCCCCTCTTGCACTGTTATGCAGGACTTTTCTCTGCTGTCAGCATGGCTGCAGAATCCAGAGCCTTCCCTCCCGTGGAACCAGAATTTCAGCTTCATCACCCGAGGACTTGCTCAAGTCGTCTCCCTCCTACCTGCCTTGCAGCTTCAGCCTGTCTTTTGAATCCTTGGTCTCCTGTGACACTCCTGCCCCAAAGCGCTCACCTACCCCCAAGCTGGAGCACTACAGCATTTTCACAGCAAAGGCAATTCTCTTATTAGAAAGAATTCTTATACTGGCTGCTAGGGGAATAAAAGTGTTCTTCTAGCCCCCCCCCCCCCCCCCAGTAATGAGGCAATAGAGGTTGAGAGTGATTTATTTTCTTTTAAAAAATAAATTAGAACAGGCTCAAGGTTATCTTGGTAATAATAGCCCTGTCTCTCTCCCTTGCATTCCAATATGCTGCTGAATAGGAGTGGAAGCCATCGTTACAGCGTGCTCAAAGGGAACCGAGCATGGGGTGCTATCAGTGCATTTCGGGGACAAAAGAGCTCCGCTCCTCCGCCTGACTCCTGGCAGTCCTTATCTGGCATCTGGGTCTACACCCCCCATAGTTGGATTTCCAGCCTCCCAGCAAGCACACAGTGCCTTGGGCTATACTGACAATTCACAAAAGTAATTCTTTGTGTGGAGCTGACACCCACTTTCTAGAGACTCTGTCTTTGTACTCTAACTCTATTTGCATGAATTCAGACCTGGCTAATTTCATTGTAGTTACAGCCTTGTAAACTATCCGTCTTACGCATAGATCTGATAAACCACTTTCTTGATTGAAACTTTCACTGGCTCCCCACTACCCAGAGGATAAGATCTTCCAGCATCCTAGAGAGGTTTGTTCGGACACTGCTTCAGCCTGTGCTCACCTCCACCTGTCTCCTGTTCCAGCCTGTAAATGTGTATGGCACTTTGTTTTGCTCCTCCTATTGTGTCTTCTTGTTTTTTGTTTTTGCCGATCCAGATACAAACGGAGCCTAGTCCTGCTTAGCTTCCCAAATCAGAGAAGGCCAAGCACCATCAAGGTATGTCTGTGGCTTTCTAACCAGCCCAGCTCCAGGGGTCCACAAATGATTTATTTATTCCCAATGGTTCTTTAGCCTTCAAGCTTTATTTAACTTCTATTGCCTCTGGGACTTGGAGGATCTTCTAGATCTCTACTTCCCTGTAGCCTCCAGTCATGTGGCCCTTGAGCTCTTGAACTACAGGCCCTCGAGTTGAGGTGTTCTGTCAGTGTGAGTTACAAACTGGTTTAAAGACTTAGTACAGATTACAAATAGCTCACTAGTGGTTCTTTATATTGATTCTGTGGTGAAGGGACTAATTTTGTTATATTGCTGTATCTAGTTCATATTGTGGGATTCATTTTATATTAAAACTCCTTTCAACAAGACTATCATAGAATTTAAAATGTGTCACACTACTGGAATGTTGTTGGACAGCCCTACTTTAATCCAGGAGAGGGGGCTCAGCTCTGAGCACTTTGAATCATCACCATTTGTGTTTCAGTTTCTGCTGCTCCCACTGAAGTGCTCTGGGGTCAGGCACTCACCTTTCTGTATGCATTCCTCCATAATTCAGTGTGTCTGAGTCCGTGCCTTTAATTGCCGATCTCAGAAGGCAGAAGCAAGCAGATTTCTTTGAGTTCCAGACTATTCTGGCATCATAGTGTGTTCCATGCCAGACAGGGCTACACAGTGAGACCCAATCTTGCTCTCTCTCTCCCCCTCATACAAATTCAGTGAATATACACGTTCCCTTGGTGTTTCTATTGCCGTGATAAATACCACCACCAAAAGCAGCTTGAAGAGGAAAGGGTTTATTTTCGTCTTACACTTGTGGGGAAGTCAGGACAAGAACTCAAGGCAGGAACCTGGAGTCAGGAACTGATGCAGAAGCCATGGAGAAGTGCTGCGTACTGACTTGCTCTCCATAGCTTGCTCACCCTGCTTTCTCAGAGCACCCAGGACCACCTGCCCAGAGGTGACACCATTACCAATGTGCTCGGCACTCCCACATCAGTTATCAATCAAGAAAATGTACCACAGGCTTGCCCATAGGCCAGTCTGGTGGGCCAATTTTCTCAATTGAGGTTCCCTCTTCCAAAATGACTCTAGATGAAATCAAGTTGATGTAAATCTAGCCAACATCCATGTTAATGAAATAAAATAGAAAGAGCTTTATCAGAAGTCCCAAGTGTTTGAAGAAGTCAGGCAGGGAATTTGGGAAGTTAACTGGGTTTAATAGACATTGAAATGCTGAGGACAAGCTAGAGATTGGCAGCAGGTTGGCAGGAGTGATGGCTGACTGAAGGCGCATCGCTGTTACTTTAGGACAATCTAGTGTAAAAGAAATACCCATCAAAGTTGGGCAGTGGAGGAGAAAGCCAGAACCCTGCACAGGGCATTAGAGCAGCACACACGGGCAGCCATGGGACAGAGAGTTCTTGGCTTGTGAGGCATGAGGAAGTGCTTAGCTCGCTAAGCAGACAAAGGTAGCCGGGAATATGTCTGGGCTGTCTTAGAAACGATTAAATTGTCAAATGTCAGTTGCGAAACAGTTCAGACACAGAATACCTGGCAGGCTCTCCTGACAACTTTATTAATCCGACAGAGCCTGGAGTTCACGTCAGGATCATCTGATGGGCAAATGGCAGTCACTACCAACAAGGTTAGCATCACACCAACCTGTGAAAGGCCCAGCCATTCCCCTGCCTCAGTTGGATTATTCCTGCATGCATATAGGCCCAGGATTACGAAAGTATCTGACTTTTCTAGTGGAACTGGATTTTTCTGTGAATTTTAACTTATTTTGATCTATGTCTTGATATTTAAAACCTGTGTGGGCCAACAAAAGCCTGGAGAGAGCCTGGAAAAACATGCATGCTTTTTAGGCTAAAGAGTAAGGCTGTGTCCTAGAAAAACAGCAGGGTTACTATCAGGGGAGTTGATCAAGAGCATAGGCGCTGTGTGGCCTTGAACCTGAAGCCATTCAAAGGTCAATGGTGCCCCCAAGGCTCTCAAGAACTGTGTTTTTACATTTCTCTGTGTAATTTTTCAGTATTTAGGTATTTAAGAAAAACAGGAGGGTGTGGAGTATATAAAGTAAATTTTTTGTTTGCCTTTGTCTTTTCAGGAGTGTGAAACTGTCAACTTAATGTAAATGAGACTAAAATGTCTCTTATACCCTGTCTGTAACTACTTGGGATTTAGGCAACGGCCAAAAAAAAACCTAACAATTTCTGGGTTTTAAGAGCTCTGATGACCTGGGTATTTTCAGGGAGTCTTCCCAGAGTGCTTTCACACAGAGAGAACGACACAGTTCATGT